ACTCAGAAGGACAAGAATAGAGACCCACTGGTCTGGAAGCCATGCCACCGATATCGGTAACTGCTTCCTATGAAGCAATTTTGATGATAACTGATTCTCGAACAAATGACTGCCAATCAGGTGTTCACAATTCAGAAGAAAGACTACACAGAAGTGGAAACCAAAATGAAGGATGAATTGAGTTTCTTATGCCCCAAACCATAGATCCCCAGCATCACTCAGAGTTTGGTCAGAAATCTCTCATAAGGCAGGAAGCTTGCAAGAACCCAATCCAATCCTTCCATTATGTATTCCTTTGCCCTCCTCAGAAAGGGACTCCAGGGCGTGAAACTCCAGGCACCCGCCATAAACTGATGCAGAGTGAAGTGAAGACAAGAGAATTCATGGGTTTCCACTTTCACAAATGTATTTCCTTACTACTGAACCTCCTTTCTAAAGATTGCTGCCAGAAAGTATGGACATTTGCAGTACATCAGGAAATGTCATGGGTACTGAGGCATGAAGCCCAGAGAAAGCTGCAAGTCCATGACTACATATTATAGTTGCATTTATGGCCTAATTCAGTGGAATAAAATTTGCCTCTTTATTTTGAATGCAGGGCAGTAGACTATGCATACTGTTAATTTTCCTTTTGGGATTGTAATAGTACTTGTCAAATGCTCAAATACTTTACGGATATTACACCATTTAAGTCCCGTTGATCCCAGGCAATTATTTTCCTTTAATAGGATGTAAATGTGTAAAGCTTATTTTGCTTCTCCAAAGAGTTTGAAGTCTAGTAAAATCTTAAGTGATTTACAGAATAATGCCGTCATCCTCCATCAACGGTCCATGAAAACCAGCCTCTGCTCTTCTCTGCGACGCCCTAATCCTGCATGTAGGACCAACATTGTCCTATGATGAAAACACCGATGCCAAGGTCCATTTCTTCCACTTCCTAATCTTTCTTGTAAATCAGTCACCAAAGCTATGGGTTCTTCCTCCGTGACAGCTTTGGCTGCTATTCTCACTGCCTCCACTCTGCCCTATTCATCACTTCCCCTTCTAGAGTATTGCTGGTCACTAGACCACGTCCCCAGAAGTCTTTGTGATCTCTAATAACATCCCACAAATGGTTCCAATACTTTTCTCGCTTCCTGTGTCTTTCGGGAGCTCAGTGCACGAATCACCCTCCATGACCCACCTTCAACTGGCGTGGGCTATATACAGTGTAGCCCGAGTCACCTCTAAAAACGTATTCATAGTTACGATTCTTCGCTGTTACCCTATATAATCCCCTTGCCTTCTCACCTCCTCAAGCCAGCCACGACACGAAGGGATTCCTGTGCTTGATGTAGTCTAGTCATCTGCTAGAAATTCTCACCCGAGTTGTTAGCCCAAGTCCAGCCATACGTCAAAGCACTCGGACCAACCAGGCCACATGCCTGAGTGTCTTGTGCCAACTTCGGGACACAGACAATGCTTTGGTACCATTCCCCTGGTATCTCACAGTATTTTTGTGCTTAAGATTTTCTTTTTTCTACCTGAGTTGTAAGCTCCTTGAAGAGAGGAAAATGGCTTATGTCTTTTAAGATGCTCAATCCCTAACACATTACCTTGCAAACTCAACAGTTATATAATGAAGATGGTAAAACCAACGAATCTAAAACTGTCATTGTGTATGAGAGTAATCTAGAATGTTCACTAAAAATGTATATTCCTAGACCCAAACTGAGAGATTTGGCTGGTCTCAGGTAAGAGGAAAAAATTAAAGACTTCTAGGGAATTCTCATGCGAGTAACATACAGATAGTATTTTGAAAAACATCATCACTGATTAATTTGAAACCGTAAATGCAAATAAACCAAGTACAAAAGTATGCAGAATTATAAATAATAGAGACAGAAAACCTGGCATGTTACAAACCAGTTGCCAATATTAGGAAGTTTTTTTTTTGTGATAGACACCATAAACCATATATGCTTCTACTATTTTAATTTAAAATAGCAATTCTCATTAAAGCAATTCATGTTAATATTAAGCTAATCTTTTTTTTTTTCATTTAAACTAGAAAGTAGGGTTACTTAAAGTTATGTAAAACAGAAGTTGTATTTTGTCACTCAAGAATAACTGATCTAGATTATTCGCTTAATTGATACAAGATTATAAATCTTTAAGCTTTCTTTTGTTGATTTTGACCTTTAACAAAGGCATGTGCAACATAAGACATGCTCTCCTTGAATTCATTATTCTAAAAATATATAAGGATCTAGGTATTTATACTCCCAGTCCAACACTTTTTGGAATAAAAGTATACTTCGCATAATTCTTCCTTTATTATTATACAGTTTTTTCTTTGAACATCAAAATCCTGAACTTCATCCAACCAGAGTGAACTCTGTGCAATGTCATGTTGGCAAATAATTGCATTTAGCAATCTAGTTGCTCTTTCTAGGCTTTGCAGTTTTTTATTTTTAGTTGGATGATAATTCTATATATTTCCTCTTTTTCCCGTCACGCCTAGTTAATTTTAATTATATAATAGGCAAAACTGTGTTTGCCTCACTTTTCTGATGTTGGCTTGCTTGCACTACTATCCTTCAGGGAAACATTTTGGGATCTTTTAGTAAGTCATGTACCACGAATAATTAGAAAGAGGAACCTAATAAATGCAAATATAAGTCAAGTGACAAGGAGATCTCATTTCTCTTTGTGATTTTGCCTCCCGATTTTTGTGTGCTTTTGTGGGTGGGGTGAAGGACTGGATGGCTAAGCTTGGTTTATAGTTTGTGAGCTATTTTGTATTTTTTAAACATTACAAAAGTACTTCCTAAATGTGAATTAACCAAAACCCTGCATTTGTTGGAGATTTTGTATACTCAGTGTTCCTTATTTACCTTCTGAAATCTCTTCTTGGGATATAGGTATTTCACAGGAAATTAACAATCAGTTCCCTCTCCAAGGTTTCCATCCCTGTGAGTCACTTGTTTAGGCCACTAGGGAGAGACATGGAGTCTTTGGACCAGGTCTTCTGGGAGTTTCATGGCAGGGACACAGCAATTCACTGAAGGCATTCATGACACACGCCCTGTCAAGCCTCTACTCGACCAATGAGGAACACTTTAGTGCACGCATAATATACTGCCCTGTGGTCGGTGGAACTCAAGAGACCTAAAATGATGTTTCACCAAGTGAAAAAGAGTCCGTTTCACATACAGAATGTCAACTCACGTGCACCATACAGGATATAAAAGATGGTTAAGTATGAAAAGCAAATAAAAATGCATAAAGATTTTCTTCACAGTAAAGAAAAAGTTGATTACATCACCAGCGAAGATGATTTGAAGACTAACAACAAGTTTAACCTCCAACGGGATGCCCACATATAACACACACGCATGCGCACACAGGGGCATGTTCATTCACGACCGACCCACCGGTGACTCTCATACAGGCTTCTGGCTTATCAGGCAAGACTTCTCATTTTACCTCCTTCTTCACACTTTCTTACTGTAAACTCAAGAAAGTAATCACAGGCAATAACCTGCTCTGGAACAGGTTACGTGGTCTCTTTCACCAGCCACCTCTCCGGGTGTTGCCTTACTAGATCATACTTTTAATGGCTTGACTTTGCAGAAACAGAAAGTGAGTCGATATCATGAAACTCCAGGCATTCCAATTACAGGAAGTGTTAGTGGGTCTAATGCTACATTTTTGTGGCATTTAAGCACAGGAAGACATTCTCACGATAATAGTTCTACCACTGTTAAGTGGGAATTTCACAAGTCCTAGAATACACTCTGTTCGGCAATTTAAGTTTTTTTTATACGCAAGGTTGTTTTCCTTGACTTCTATATTGAATGACAAATTCCGTTTTTTTTTCAATTCCCCCCCACCCCGAAACTTAAAATTTAAAGGTAGTTTGTTTTTTTTTAGTCTTCTCAATCTTAAAACGTATTGCAAAATAACTGTGAAGGCAATTCAATTTTTGCACATTCAACATGTCATTCAATCAAGTCAACTCACAGTTGATAGTCACACACCATGGGCACCTCTCCACTTGCCATCGGTTGAAATAAAGCTCCGCATTCTGTACCCAGCCAGGGGTACTGCGCATGTTTGAACGGGGACGTCCCAGAGTATGTGGAATATAAAAAGTTCTTCAGGACTTCCCAACTCTGTTACGAATACTATCCATCCTTAATGTCAGATCTGAACGTTTTTTAGGCGCACATTTTGGAAAAGCAAGTTGAGAAGCGGGCACACCTACGGTCACTCCTTTTTGAAAATCAGAATGTCTCCAAAGTGCCTTGGCAACATTTTCCGGCAAAGGGTTAAACCGCTATTTCATAAACCCAACAAAACAACAATCCACCTTACTGTTCAGGACTTTCAGAACCAGATTTCAGCAACGCAGAGGTTGAAGTTGAAAAGTCATGCCTGATCGTGATCTACGGGAGATCCTGTTGCAGCTCAAGTTTGGCCAACTAACTTCTCCAAGTGACTCTGAAGTCTTGAGCCCTCAAGCCCCGGTGACTAAATCCCTTCCACATTATCCTAAAATCGCCTGCTGCTCCGCCTAGGGGGAACACTCCGGGAAAATGAACCTCGGTTGACCGGTCGTCCTGGCCCCGGGAGCCGAGGGGACTCCCCACTAATCTGCTCCGGAGGGAAAAGAGCAGTGCGGACCCGGACGAGCCGCGCTCCCGGGGAGGGTTCCAGCCCTCTGGGCGCACCCGCGGGGGACGACTGCTCCCCAGCAGGTTCCGCGATCTCTACCACCACCCCCACCCCACCTCAGCGGCTGCGTCTCCCAGGCTTTCTGGCTTTCCTACTTAGTAACAACTTTATGCAAAAACAAAAACAAAAACAAAACTTTTCTCCCAGGAAGCGTGCAGTCTGCTCGGTATAACTTTGGAGGCAGCGTTCCGAAGGTGAAGCAGCAACACACGGCCGGCGCGGCTTCTGGGTCCGCAGCGCCCCGCGGTCGCCCCCCACCGCCGGCCCGGCCCCGCACCTACCTGGGCCTCGTCCGCGTCGGGCTCCGCGTCGGAGAAGCCGAGTCCCGACTCGAAGGCGGCGGCGGCGGCGGGCGCGTCGCGCGGACCCCGCAGCAGCGCAGCGGCGAGCAGGGAACACGCCAGGGACCA